CTACTGATAGTGGATATTAAAGATATTTATGCAATGATGTAATCAAAATAAATATGATTATTTATTATAATAATTATGCTGAGAAATTCATGGCGAGTACCAAACACTTAATTCACAAAGCCAATTTTTTAAAGCTAGGCCAGTTTGATGCAAGTCTCAAAATACTCAGAAAAACAAGATGGGAGCTTCGAGAAGAAAAAATTGTCATCCTTAGGTTTTTTTTATTATTATTATTATTTATTTTTTTTCTAAATTTAGCGGGGCTTCAACTTGTTTACATTGCAGTTCTAGTTGTTCATGCCTATGATGACGGCTCAGATAAAAACATAAATTCTCAGATATTTTGAATTTCATTATTCTATATTAATCTAGTTTGGATTACTGCTACTATTTGTTCTTTGTTGTTGTTTGATTTTGTTATTCTTCCTAGCCTTCCTTCATTTGGTAACGACCAAATTCCAATGGAAGTCATCACCTTGTATCAATGTAAGACTTCAATTTATATTTTGGTGAATTTTTTGTTTTTTTTTGTTTTATTATATAAATTTAGCTCTCAGTCCTCCAACATGCATGGATTTTTTCAAAATTCATATTCAGTAAAAATGTTGCAATAAAGGCATTAAAAAATGGAAATAACTCAAAACATATGTTAACGGTTGTTATAAAATGGAGAAATGAAAGAAAACTTTATACAGTAATACATTCTCAATTAGCAAAAACAGAAACACATTAGAAATATTCAATTAAATATAAATATCAATTAAAATGCATGCTGTGTTTGCAGTCAACTTTTTTTCTTGAGACTTTTCTACTGTCATGTAAGAAAGACTCGGGATACATAGTATATGTAAATGAACGAAATACTCATAAAAGAACTAAAGAAAAAAAAAATTCAAATAGAACACGATGTGATGGAGACGGCTATTTTACTGAAATCAAGCTACAGAAGTCTAGTTCACTAAAAAATACAGAAATAAAACATCAAAAGAAATAAATACTTTTCCTATTCGTGGTCGCTCTTTCAATTTTGCAAGACTATTTCGGATATGTGAGACAGCGCCCCAACATTTTAATGTATTTGCTATATCATCAAGCCTCAGTATGTACTCCTCTTCAGTTAATGGAAAGGATCGCTAAGAAAATATGAGAAAAATTAATCATCTATATGAATAGAAAAGAGTAAAGCACCAGCAAACAAGCATGATATGCAACTAACAAAATTTCCATTCAAACTTCAAGGAACCATTCTATCGTATTAGATAATGCTCAGAAAATCCATCAGTTTGATTTGAAAATATTATTACAGCTACCTGCTCCATGTACTTCCACATGACATTCATCGCAAGTAGGTTTCTCCCCATGAATTCCTACAGCAAATCACCAATGAGCAAAGAAGAAAATTTGGAAAAAGCACCAGCAAAGAAAAACTAACAAGCAAACTACATTAAGGATGCAATCTTTACAATAAACCTAAATAAAACCTTGAGAAATGATGGCAAGGAAACATTAATCAAGTGAACCATAAATAGAAAGGTTTTAAAACAGACCCCCATTAAAAAAATGACATAAAATTGCACCAAAAAACCTATTCCATGTTAGAAAGGCCAATAGTAACGACAGAGAAGTACATTAGTGTAGAGAAAGTGAATTTATCTGAGGATGAATAATTTATTCTTTAGTTATATTTGTAATAACCCAGCAAAAAGATTTTAAAAAAAAATTGGAAATTAAAAAAGAGATCCAATCTACAAATGCCGGTTCACTTAATGCAAAGAAGGTGAAGACAAAAAGGGATAGATGAGCAAGTTGAGCAGCTTCAATTGTTAAAAATCATAAATGAGAGCGGGAGAGGAGACGGAGCTAAAGGTGAAATTGAGAGTGCGTTTGGGGCTGCTTTTTAGCCGCTCTTCATTCTAAAAAGCACCCTGGGTGTGTTTGGAACCCGGTTATTCAAAGCGTTTTGTAAAGGGCAGTTCACAAAACCGAAATTTTACGAATAAAGAGTCGAGCCTTTGTTCTGTGGAATGGACCGAGACGTGGTTGCGGGAAAAGATATCGCTACCCTTCATCTTTTCCTCAAATTCTTTGTTTTATCTATGATATTTATAGCCTAGCTATATGGCTTCTCCCCCGTCTTCGCTGCATGCTTTTTGGGTTTAAGGCATACCAGTATAGGGTTTTAGCTTCTCCCTCATGTTTGATGTATGCATGTATCTAGAATGTTTCTCTTTGGTTTAGGTTCACACGACAAAGTTTTTTTTTTTTTTAAATAATTATTCTCTTTTTTTTCTTCCGTCACCGGATTTCCAAATTTCAATTTACTTTGTATTGACGAGTTTGATTATTGCCTTAGGTCTGCATTCCAGCCTATTTCGGTTTTGCATTCAATGCGATACCCTCAAATTAGTGGATGGTTAATTCATTTTCAATTTTTGATGGTTTGTTATGCATCCCTGTTGTTCTTTGCGTACATCTAAAAACTCATGTGTTGGCTTTCCAAATAAATAAGAATTGTGTTCTCTCTTTGGTTTCAGATGTTCATTACATGCTATTTTGGATGGGCTTGCTCTGGTTGGGATTTTCTTGGCTCTGGTTGAGCTTGCTATTGTTGGGTTTCTATTGACTATGATTGGGCTTGATGTGATTGGAGTTTGGGTGGTTGTGTTTAGGGTTGCTCATGTTGGGTGTTTGTTGATTGTGGATTTTGATGGTTGTGGTTGGAGTTTTGTTGGTTGTTGTTAGGGCTGTTTTGCTTGGGGTACAGTTGGTTGTGGTCGTGGTTGTGATTGTGGTTGTGGTTGTGTTTGCTCTAATTTATGGTTTTTGTTGATTGTGGGTATTATTGTTAGTTATGGTTGGGGTTCGGTTGATTCTAGTTGGGGTTGATTTTGTTTGTGTTCGATTAGTTGTTGTTGGGTTTAATTTGGTAGTGGTTGTGTTATAACTCTAGGCTGACTAACTATAACTATGAGATTTTTATGGTGTGCAATTCATTTTATGTGATGGAATACATGATTTAGTATTTTTTTGGATTACATTGTTGGGTTTGCACTAGATTTGGGTGGTGATGCTGTCTATAAGATTTTGTAGTGTGCAATCTTATGTCTTAAAAGGTGCCTTTAACTTTTAAAAGTTGAAATAGTGATCTTTTTTATGTGACATGAGAAGCTAGAGGTTATATAAATGCAAAAGATAAGAATTTATGGTATGCAAATAAATGCTCTATCTCCTATAAAATTGTATGAGCATAGCTTATTTATCAATATATATTTTGATGTTTTGCATAAATACAAGTCAACTCTTATGCATTCATATAATTACTTCACATCTTCATTACTACATGATTTTTGGCCGTCTCTGCAATAATAATTATCTGTTGTTGTATTTGCTATGGTAATGGCATCGTGCATGTTATATGTTATGCAGGCTTCGACGGCGTAAGGTTTGGTAATGTTATGTAGAGCAATGATGGAAAAAAAAGAGCTCAAACAACCAATTGTGATCCATATAATTGTTATCATTTGTTTGCAATCATAGTTAACCACATATAATATCTAGTCTGAAAGTTGCATAACAAATTAACCATAGATATTACCTAGTCTTAAAGTATGGATGACAGAATTAACCACATATACTACATGGTATCACAGTCAATCACAGATACTACATGGTTTTAAAGCACACATGATAGTCAACCACACATACTATATAGTCTTAAAGCTTGTATGAAACAGTCAACCAATGATACTGCCTGGTCTTAAAGCCTACATAACACAGTCAACCAAAGATAATACAGGGTCTTAAAACTTGCATAACACAGTCAATCACTAGACTACCTGGTTTTAAAGTACACACACAATCAAACACAGATACTACATTATCTTAAAGCCTGCAAAACAGTTAACTTGATTCTCGAAAGCACTTGGTGATCTTGGATGGAGCAATATTTTATAAATTGATCTCATTGAGCTTTACTTCGATCTTTTTTTTAACTTCTGTTTCAATTTTTTATTTAATTTTTTAGTCATAAGCTAAGTTATATAATTTCTTCTAATTAATTTTTATCTCGGTGATACATCAGATAGTAAAACAAAAAGAATGGGTTATATCGGTCAGTTGAGAGAAGAAGATAAAGATTATATTTTGTGATTTATGCTTAAAATAAATCAAGACTGACAACATATCAACCATACATTTCAACAAAGAATGTTGGCAATGTATAACAAAAATTAACATGAGAAAACAAGAAGACTGCATAATAAAACTCAGTCAAAGAATAAATGAGATCAATTCAAAAAAGACTAGAAAATTTGGAAAGAGTTATGGAGAAGAGAGTGAAGAGGAAAAATATTAGTAAGCAGAAAATGTTATATGAATTATTTACTCATATTAATTGAACTATGACTACATCAACTGTATGTCCTGTCCCATGCAAAAGAAATTTAGGAGAGTTGGCATAGACCCTGAGCTGGAGGAGGAATTTTAATCTATGTTTCTCAGTGTTGCAGCTACGGGCTTTATTGTCTGGGCAACAACATAGGACTTCCCCCAAAATTTGAATGAGTTTGAATATGTTTATTCAAATGAAGTCTAAGAAGAAGTACCATAGATAAGAGAAAAAGAAGAATCAAGTTATTTCAGGTGCTATGCACCCTATACACAGAAGTGTAAAAAGAGAATGAAGATCTACCCCCAACTTTTATATAAACAGATCTTACAGCTCGTTACGACCTACTAGTATGACATTCAGTGCTCGCACGATTATTCAAGGGTACATAACTCGAAACTGTGAAACTGTTGGACTCCACGCTCCAGATGTTTGATTATATGTCGCTATATTAATTCGCTATAAAAATTTTAAAGGTCAGAACAAAACGGAAGGCTTTCATCATGATGGTCCGGAATGAAAGATTCCTTGCCTCTTGTATTTTTTAAACAATTAGTGGAGTTAATTTGTGTTCTTAATTTCTGATTTAGAATTGTGTAATAATTTAATATTTTATGTCAAACAGGATTTTGTGACATGTTCATGTGATATTTGATCATGCACGTTTTGCACTAATTATAGTATTTTATTTGTATAGTTGTTTATTTATAGTCTACTTATTATATTTTATATATTCTAACATGCATAAAATAAATAGATGAAACCATGAATTAAAGAGGAAATTATAAAAGCAGTGGAATGAACAACAATTCTGAGTACTACAGTATGTTTTATTAATGAGTAAAATCAGAAAAAATTCATAAAAGTCAGTGTATTTGTCATCCTCATCAGTAGATGACAAATGAAATAGTGAGTTATTCCAAGGTCATACAGGTATAATTCATAGTATGTTTCAGAAATCGGGAAATTTTTTAGTGATTTGTTGGATGAATTGCAAAATAATTATGATTTACAAGGATCATCCAAATTTGCACCAAGAGAAGTATTATCACTTTATATATCATGTTACATAATACGTCTATTCGTGCTGCTTTCAAGCGATTCTAAAACTCAATAGAGACGTTCAACATATATTTTGATATTGAGCTTAACCATTAGGTTAGAATGCCAAGAAACATTGCCAAAGTCAAAAATCCTGCTTTTGAGCATACATGAAAAGAGATCATGCATGTCATTTTTTGAATTATTGATTTATCTATTAAATTGCATGCATGATATAAAAACTAATTATTTTCATAAATATTTTAAATATGATTGTATAGGATCAATTGATGGGGCAAACATGTCGATGCACTTATTATTGAATAATGATAAGATTATATGGGTCAACAACATAGAATATCTTAGTAGTTTATGATTTTAATAAGTGTTTTACGTTCTTAATGGCTGGATGACAAGGGAGTGCTCAAGATAATCACATTTTGAAATTTGCTACTCAACAATGTGGATATAAATTTCTAATGCCTACAGTCGGTTAGTATATTCATAATCGAATATGAAGTGTTACATTTGAATAGATGTACTAATAATTTTATTTTTTAAGACGTATTAGAAAGATTTCTAATAATCAATTTGGATTTATGCAGGGTAGGTCTACCATGGAAGCTATACATTTATTGAGAGGTTTGATGGAGAAGTTCAAAGATAATAAGCAGGATCTACATTTGATTTTTATTGATTTAGAATAAGCTTACGATAAGGTTCCAAGCGATATCCTTTGGAGAGTTCTTGAGAAGAAGGGTGTTGATATGACTTATATTCAAGTCATAAAAGATATGTATACTAGAGTTGTTACTTGTGTTCAAACTGAAGAAGAATTCACCAAATATTTTCCTATTTATATTGGATTACATCAGGGATCAGTTTTAAGCCCATATCTTTTTGCATTAATTATGGATGGTCTTACTATACATTTACATG